AGATTTCTGTTGTTTCAATTGTTCTGAGGGTACATACATTAACTCTTTACAGATAGATAATGCATTTCAATCAGTTGCATGAATTTTGGAAACTATAATTAAAATTAATTAGTTTATAAATAGCAAAGTTGAGTTTCTGTTAAGATGAATTTTTATGAATTATTATATACTACAAACATATACTAACAAAATAAACACTTAAAAAAGGAAAATCTAAAAGTGTGGATGCCAACATTCTGAAAAACACACATAATAACAATAGCAAACTATGTGGTGAGCATCTAAGATATTTAGATGCATTAATGTATTTAATTTCTCCCAAATAAGTACTTGACTCCATTTTATAGATTGGGAAACTGAAAGACAATGAGTAAGCTGCTCCAGGTCAAGCAGCTAACACTTGCCAGATCCAGTGTCTAAGTCCAAAGAGTCCAGATTAGAGCGTGTGTGCTTCGGCACGAGATACTACTGCTTCTCGGCAGGCGGCTGACAGGAGGTGGAGAGGAGGGTGACCTGGGCAGGCAATGAGCCCGGATGTGAACGGAAGTAAGGGCAGAGGTAAGCTTTAGAGCAAGCACGGCTCCTTCCGGGATTCGGAACCTCAATGCTGAAATGTCAGGAGAGGGTTTTAATAAGGTTTTGTGTATGTTTGCTTTTGTAAAAGATAGGATACAGGTCCTTCAACCGCTCAGGATCGAGTGATCTGGGGTTGCAAAATTCGGATTTTATAAGCTATGATTTTGGATCCATATAATACACCAAACACTAGTCTGCATGCTGACGAGAGGGACAAAGCCTCTGCCCTTACGGGACTTGTAACACAATGGGAGTGGAGAAACAGGAAAAAATGCACATAAATTGATACAATAAATTAGATAGCCGTAAGTCTTAAAAATACAATAAAAAATGAGAAATGAAGGAAAAGTGGAAAGAAAGCCTTTGTAAATAAGGAGGGGAAGAAGGGTTGAAGCGAGGATAGGGGAACCAGAAAAAGAAGACTCAAGATATATCGTGTCCAGGTACAAATT